ATGGCATAAACAGTGACCAACACAGCAGCAGTGAGACCTTCCAGACTAAGGTCTCTAAGAACCATGTTTCACTGAGATGAAGCACGGCTTCTTGGTAGACTGGTTGATTCCAAGTCTGAGCCAGGAAAAGAACAAGAAGAGCCAACAATATTTTGTCATTCTGGAAGACAAGAAAGCTCTCAAGGGCTGAGTCTGTCCCAAGGACCTGAGAGACAGCCTGAAGAGGTTTCCAGTGGTCAGAGAGATGGGGTAATTGGAGCAATGAAAATATTAATAACCGTAATGGACTGAAAGGAGCTCAGGTGGTGCGGTGCCTAAGGCATTTGGCTGCTAACCAGAAGGTGGGCAGTTCAAACTACCAGCTGCTCTAACGAAAAAAGACAGGGCAATCTACTTCCTTAAAGATTTACAGCCTCGGCAACCCAGTGGGGGTTACAATGAGTCGGAATTGACTTGATGGCAGTGGGGTTTTGGGATAGATTCATACCCATCCAGTATGCTGAAATTCCTTAGTTCGTAATGATATTTTAAAAAACAAAAGCTCATTGGTTACCACTGGAAAATGCTAAGAAATTCTCTCATTATTCTGAAAACGACATAATAAAAGGTAATAAATTGTTTGAGAGCAGCTTAAGGAAGATGCAAGCCAGATAAAAGCCCTCCTCCAACAAGGCAGTGGGGGAGGCGCTGGAGCCAGCCTGTGTCCCCTGGGGCCCACGGACAGGGCACCCAGGAGCCTGGGATACTCTGATGGGAACCCTGGCGCTTGCTCTTGGCGCTGGCTCCCCTTCCCTCTGGACTAGTCCCGTCTCTAAACCCAGATGGAAAGAAACAACAAGCAAAGGGGCAACGATGCTGGGCCCGGGTGGGCAGGGAAAGGGCACTGTCAGGAGAGAGAGGAGTGGGCTGACAGTGCCCAGGAGCTGGGGCCTGAGGAAGGCCGGTGATTGGAAGCCGGGGCCTGAGAGGGGCTCGGTGATCGGGAGCCAGGGCCTGTGTGAGGCCCGGTCCCCGGGAGCTGGGCCCCGAGTCCTGCCCCAGCTTGCCGGGTGTGGTTCTCTGTGCCATCAGAGGTGAGAGAATTGAATAGCTCTCTCCTTGGCCAGCCCACGGTGCTGAGGGCCTGGAGACTGTTCTAGAAACCCCCCTGGGCTATAGTCCTGAGATGGAGAATCACACCCACCACGTGAAAGCAGTTGGCCTGGGACACCAGGCAGAAAAAACCTTGTTCACTTGCTGCAGTGAACAAAGGCCAAGAGCCAGCCCCCAGGTGCGCCGGGGGCTCGGGTGGAAAATGGGGGAGTCAGTCCCCAGGTGGGCCGGGGCTCGGGTGGAACATGGGGGAGCCAGCCTCCAGGTGGGCTGGGGGCTCGGGAGGAACATGGGGGAATCAGTCCCCAGGTAGGCTGGGGCTCGGGCAAGACACAGGGGAGCCAGCCTCCAGGTGGGCCGGGGCTCGGGTGGAACATGGGGGAGCCAGCCCCCAGGTGGGCCGGGGGCTTGGGTGGGACATGGGGGAATCAGTCCCCAGGTGGGCCGGGGCTTGGGCAAGACACAGGGGAGTCAGCCTCCAGGTGGGCCGGGGCTCGGGTGGAACATGGGGGAGCCAGCCCCCAGGTGGGCCGGGGCTCGGGTGGGACATGAGGGAGCCAGCCCCCAGGTGGGCCGGGGCTCGGGTGGGATATGAGGGAGCCAGCCCCCAGGTGGGCCGGGGCTCGGGTGGAACATGTGGGAGTCAGCCCCCAGGTGGGCCGGGTCTCGGGTGGAACATGTGGGAGTCAGCCCCCAGGTGGGCCGGGGCTCGGAGTGGAACATGGGGGAGTCAGTCTCCAGGTGGGCCGGGGCTCGGGCAAGACACAGGGGAGTCAGTCCCCAGGTGCGCCGGGGGCTCGGGTGGAACACGCGGGAGCCAGCCCCCAGGTGGGCCGGGCTTGCGCAGGACACAGGATAGGGGACATAGGCTGGCCTTGGTGGCGGGCAGCCTCAGCAGGGTCAGGAGACAGACAGGGCAGGTGTGGTATGTGCTGCATGCTGACTGGGGCCACAGTGGGCAGCGCCAGGTGAGCCTCAAACATTTGCCTGAGGCCGCTCGCCGTGGGTGTGCCCCGTGCCTGGCCCGGCACAAACCCCATCTCATCTAATCCACATGAGAGATGAGGGGGCTCCATGGCAGGCACTCAGAACCCTGTGAAGACTGCACAGCTAACGAGGCTGCCCTCCTTGAGGGGGGCCAGCACCCCTGAGACACATTTTCTCTGCAGAGGGGGACACTAGGTGGGCCCTCAGAGACCAGCCTGGGAAGAATCACTGCTGGTGCAGAATGCCGGGGGAGGCCTCCGGTGAGTGGTGGAGGGGACGCCTGGGCCGGGGACACGGGGACCACAGAGGGTGTCCCGCATACCCCACAGGGGATGGGAGCCGCCTGCTCACTGGGCTGGGGTGTGTTCCCGGCCCGTACCACAGTGCTGTGAGGGGAGGGAGGCGGCAGGTGCCAGTGCCCGGCCTTACCTTGTCATACCTGAGGGCCTGCACGATCTGTGGGATATAGAACAGGATGGCGTCCTGCAGGTGAGGAGGGCAGCGGCGTGAGCGCTCAATTCCACATGCTGAGAGCCACCCTGCTGGAGGGCCCCAGGGGCCCACCCCAAATGCCACTGTCCCCGCTCTGCTCAGCCTCCCGCCAATGTGGTTAGAGCCCCAGGGCAGTACGGGAGTGGGAGACAGCCCAGGCTGGCAGTGAGCCCCCAGTGTCTAGAGACATCGGAAGAGCTGAGGAACAAGGCTCGCAGCCCGCAGGGAGCACCGAGGGTGACAATGGAGTCTGTGTTTGGGCAGCAGGTCAGACTTAGACCCCTGCTGTGCTCCTCAGTGGGGTGTGCGTGTGCGCGTGTGCGCGTGTACACGAATTAACTGTCCCAATATAAGATGCTTGCCACATCTAGGCCCAGTGTAGCTGTGCGTCCTTAACTCTAACACCTCTACAAGGTCAACACACAGACGCACCTACTGGACATGCGTGTGTTAGAAAGGGACGTGTGGCCTATAGTCACCTGAAGGCAGGGCTGACATCTGGTCAGGCTAGCAGCCCTGGGTCAGGAGGGGACCTTGAATTCACTCTCCACCCTGCCCCGCCCCACACGTAGCACCCCAGGGTGGAGCTCACCGGTGGGAATGACCGCAGGACCTTGACCCCGTACTGGGCCGTGAGCGGGTGCGGTGGGTACTGGCTGGAGAAGTAGGAGAGGCCGGTGGGCGGGTCCGTGGGCGCCCAGCAGAGCACGTGGCTGAGCTCGGGTGCGTCGGCATCAATGGTATGCCAGGTGACCAGGAACTGGGGCAGAGCGGGGAGATGGCTGAGCGAGGGTGAACAGGCCAGGCTGCACGCAGCACCGTGGACACAGGCAGGTGCAGGGTGCACGGGCGTGTGCCAGGCGTGTTCGTGAAGCATTTAAGCTTCACAAAGCTTCTCACAGGTTATGTAACGCCGTGACGGGTCCTGTGTGGTGTGGGTGCTGGGGGCCCTACCATCGGCCTTTAAAACACTGGAAGCACGACCTCACAGTGTCAGTGGGGCTTCTAGACTGAGGCTGGGGAGACAGGCCCAGTGATGGACTTCCAAACCGAGCCGAGGGAAGCCCTGCAGGTGGGACGGACACACGCCTCGTCCTGGGAGCAGACATGGGAGTCAGAGGAAGAGGACGTGGCCTCCCAGGGCGGCACCCTTCCGTCCCGGGTCGTCCTGTCTTGCAGCACTGTGTGCAGCTCATTAGTGTCCCCGGGCCCCACAGCAGCACACAGTACCTTGATAGCTTCTGGGACGTCACTCACAGCTCCCGGGTCCAAGCGTACCAGGCGGGTCACCTCATTACCAATGGCCTCTGTGTTCTTAAACCTGTGGAGACACACAGTGGGTGACACACATTGGGTGGTGCACAGCAGAAGGGTGGTGCATGGTGGGTGGGTGACGCGGTGAGTGGGCAGCACACAGTGGGTGACAAGTAGCAGGTGGGTGGTGCACAGCGGGTGGGTGACGCACAGCGGGTGGGTGGTGTACAGCGGATGGGTGACGTGCAGCGGGTGGGTGATGCACAGCGGGTGGGTGGTGCATAGCAGGTGGGTGGTGTACAGTGGATGGGTGACGCACAGTGGGTGACACGTAGCAGGTAGGTGGTGCACAGCGGGTGGGTGACGCACAGCGGGTGGGTGGTGCATAGCAAGTAGGTAGTACACAGTGGGTGGGTGACGTGTAGCAGGTGGGTGGTGCACAGCGGGTGGGTGACACATAGCAGGTAGGTGGTGCACAGAGGGTGGGTTGCGCACAGCGGGTGGGTGACGCGCAGCGGGTAGGTGGCGCGCAGCGGGTGGGTGGTGCACAGCGGGTGGGTGATGCACAGTGGGTGGTGACACGTAGCAGGTAGGTGGCGTGCAGCGGGTGGGTGGCACGCAGTGGGTGGGTGGCGCACAGTTGGTGAGTGACACATTGGGTGGGTGAGGGACCTTGCTGCAGACTCGGGCACTCGACCTCCAAAGAGGAGGGGGCAAGGCCAGCCCACAGCTGGAGGGATTCAGGCTGGTGTCATGCCTCCTTTCTGTGCTCTACAATCAGTGGACTGGAGGTCCGAACGTGAGTGTAAAGTGCACATTGTTGTGCTACAGGGACGCTGGCAACGCCTCCAGCAGGGACTCCCTGACTCAGCGCTCCAAGGGAGGTGTCCCTTCTCTGTCATGATACTGTCCCCCTCCTCTGGCCCTGCAAGCAGCCCCTTGATGCTGGCTCTCCTGGGAGAGGGTAGTAGGCAGGGGCGTTTTCAGGGCAGGGTCTGCCCCCAGGAAATCATGCAGGAGCACCTGGCAGGAGGCAGCAGGGCCAGAGGTGGGACCTGCTGCTGGATGCCAGCGAATTGGGGCTCAGCCTGAGAAACACTGGCCCTGAAGCATGTATGGGGGCTGGGGGACTATCTGCATGTGTGTGTGTGCGTCTAGAGCCCCTTTCCACACCCATCAGTCTGAGGCCTCTGTCCCGAGAACCCACTGCAGGAGAGGTCACGGTGCTGCCAGCCAGAGCAGGCCTTCCTCCCAGTACCTGTCACTGACAGTTGGCACCAGGTCAAAGCCAGGCCCACCTTCTGGGGAGCGACCCCCCCATGTGCCCTGGCCTGTGAACGAGACGGAGGCCCTGGTCCTCCCTGACACGCCTTCCTGGAGCTCGGGCTTGGAGTGTAAAGCCATCATGGAGCCACAGTGTCCTGCTGGGTCGACGCTTCAGGGCGGAGCCCTGGCCCTTGACAGTGCTCTCTGGCAGCGCTGGCCTTGTGCTGTGGCAGGTGAGGCCCTCGCTGGGCAGGTGTGATGTGGGGCCCACCTGGCTGGCAGCTGCACGGCCAGGTACGGGGAGATGCTCCAGGCGAGGTTCACGTTGTCTTTCCACTGCTTCTCACTGAGGCTTATGTACTTGGACCGCCAGTTGGCCACACTGTTCTCCCCGGCCTGGTCCAGCTCCAGCTCTGGGGCCGACAGGGGGTTGTACCATGTGATGAGGCGCTCGATCTCGGTGGCCTGGGGAGATCACAGAGTGCTTGACACGCCTGCCTCGCGGCTGGGCGCCAGTCCCTGGGCACGGTGTCGGTACTCAGGCCCAGGACTCACCAGCAAGGACAGCAGCAGGGTCCTGCGCTTCATGTAGTACTTGTGCAGCTGGGAGCCCCGGTTGGTCTTCTTTGACATCCCTTGGGGGAAAAGGAGAGCAGAGGTGGCCTCCTCAGAGCCTCCTGCCCACCCTGAGCTTCTAGAATTCCCAAGTAGCTGCCCATTAGCACACTCTGTGTCCCGCTTGTCCCAACAGGCACCAATCGGGCTGCCTGGATGGTAACTCAGATGCAGTGCACCCAACGCGCCAGCCAAGTACGCACTGACCTGACTTCTTAGAGATGGTGGACATGCCGCTGGACAGTGGGTAGGTGTTGATCCAGCCTTGCGTGGCCTGCTGCCGTGAGCCAACTGTAATGTCCAAGTTACTCCGCGTGTCTTGGTTATCTGTGACAAAGACATCGTTGATGTTACAGCGAGCGGTTCAAGAAAGAATGTCACAAAAGTGACCTGGGCTTACCAGTGTACCATGGGAACCTCAGCTTACATGATCGCGCAACTAGAACCAGATGGTGCCCAGCTGCCACCGCCAGCTGCTCAGAAATGGATCAAAATAAGAGATTCCGGATGGAGTTGGAGAACAATGTGGAACAAAACTGAAAGTCATAAAAAAGACCAGCTTTGCTGGTTGGATAGAGCCTGGTGAAACCCCTAAGACTATGGCACCTAATCACCCTTCAGGCCTGGAACTGAACGCACGCCTGTGGCTTCCAGCACCAATAGACAGGCAAACGGGGTGAACATTGACATCAGGTAGATACACTCCTTGGAGAGATCAATCGTGGGAGAACAGAAGGGCAGTGTTTACACAAGGAAACAGCTCGGGGATGGAGTGCATGGGAGGGAAGGACACGGAAGGGGTAACTACGGGGAGGAAGTGGGAAGAGAGCTGTTACACTGTGGGGAATTGAACTCAGTGTCATGAAACAAAATGGTATTAACTGCTGTATGGAAAATGAATTTGCTCTGTCAACTTTCACCCAAATCCCACACTCTCACACTCACACACACACACACACACAAGTGACCTGGGTTTTGCTCAGCGACCGGGTGGTCAGTAGGAGGCCAGGCCTGTTCCGGAGCACTGGACTCAGGCAGAAGGCTGGCTTGCTTTTCTATTTTTTTTTTTGAATAGCGATTTGAGTCTAAGTTTGCAGAGCACATTGGTTTTCCACTCCACAGCTCCTACACATTTGCCTGGTGACAGTGACTGCATCCCCACCAGGTGACAGCTCCCTTCCACTTCCTCCCGCCCTCCATTCCCCTTCGTCCTTCCTTCCCGTCCCTTCCTGCCTCCTGGGCTTCCTCTCTGGGCACGTGCTGCCCTCTGGGTCTCGGAGGGTTGGTTGTTCTAAGGGATGTGGACCTCCCTGGGGTTAATGCTCACCTCATAGCGCTGTCCATTGTTTGGCTGAAAGCTGAGCCGTGGGGCTGGGTTCTGTTCCAGGCTTCAAGGGTGACTAAAGGCCACAGTTTTAGGGGCTCCCCAAGCCTCTATCACAACAGTAAGCCTGGTCTTTTTTTTTTTTTTTAATGATTTTGAGTTTTGTTCCACATTTTTCTCCCATTCTGTCCAGGCCCTTGCCCTGTGGTCCCTGAAGCTGGGCACCATCCAGTTCCTCTCACAGGCAGAGGGCTTTTGACAGACTGCGTGGAAATGGCTGCAGTGGAGAACACGCAGGTGCTGACAACTCGGCGAATAAACCCCAGGGGCAGTGGGCTCTCGAGACGGCCAAGAAGGTCTCTGTTCTAACCATTCTGGATGGAAAATACTCTAAATGTACTACATTCCTTCCTGCCTTTGAAGTAAAATAGAACAAAGAAAAATGGTCCCTTTCTTGATAAATTACAGTCTGTATCTGATCAGGGAGTTCTGGAGGCACTGTGGGGAAGGCATTTGGCTGCTAACCAGAAGGTTGGTGGTTCAAACCCACCAGCTGCTCCAAGGGAAGAAAATGAGGCACTCTATTTCCATTAAGACTGACAGCCTTGGAGACCCTGTGGGGCAGTTCCACTCTGTCCTCTAGGGGCGCTGTGGGTTGGAATCACCTCCATGGCAGTGGGTTTGGCTGTTTTGGATCCAATCAACATTCTGCCGTCCTTTCACACGGTTAGAACGTGGGCCCTACAGGTCACGGCAGGGTGCTTTACCACGTTTGGGAAGCTGACTTGTCTGCTTGGTAACACCCTTCCTCCTCCTGGGAGTGAGGTGGTTGGCTGTGGGTCGGCCCGTGGAAACCAGCTGTAACTGTGCTTTGTTGGGGACCCAACTTGTCTGTTAGTGTGCTGTCCTACGGTGGCCTGAGTGTCACTGTCAGGCTGGAGGTTATGCCAGCAGTATTTCAAACACCAGCAGGGTTACCCGTGGTGGGCAGGCTTCAGTGGAGCTTCCAGACTGACACAGACTCAGAAGGAAGAGGCCATCCACCTCTCAAAGAATTAGCCAGTGAAAACCTTACGAATAGCAGTGAAACACTGTCTGGTATAGTATTATCGGAAAACGTTATGAATAGCCTTGAAACACTGTGTGATACAGTGCCGGAACATGAGCCCCTCAGGTCAGAAGACTCAAGATACAACTGGAGAAGTGCTGCCTCCTCAGAGTAGAGCCAACCTTAATGAAGTGGATGGAGTAAAGCTTTTGGGATCTCTATTGGCTGATGTGGCACAACTCAAAATGGGGAGAAATAGCAGCAAACATCCATTAATAATCGGAACTATGGCATGTATGAAGTATGAATCTAAGAAAACTGGAAGTTGTCAAAAATGAAATGAAACACATAAAAATTGATATCCTAGGCATTAGTGAGCTGAAATGGACTGGTTTTGGCCATTATGAATCAGACAACCATACCATATGATCTACTATGCCAGGAATGACAAATCGAAGAGGAATGGCAAGGCATTCATCATCACAAAAAATGTTTCAAGATCTATCCTGAAGCACAATGCTGTCAGTGATAGGATAATATCCATACACCTACAAGGAAGACTGTTAATACTACCATTGTTCAAATCTATGCACCAACCACCAAAGCCAAAGATGAGGAAATTGAGGATTTCCATCAACTTCTGCAGTCTGAAATTGACCGAACATGCAATCAAGATGTGTTGATTATCACTGGTGATTGGAATGCAAAAGTCAGAAACAAAGAAGAATCACCAGTGTTGGAATATATGGCCTTGGTGAAAGAAATGACGCCAAAGACCACAGGATAGAATTTTCCAAGACCAACGACTTATTCACTGAAAACACCTTTTTTCAACAACATAAATGGTAACTATACACATGGACTTCACCAGATGGAATACACAGGAATCAGATTGACTACATCTGTGGAAAGAGGCAATGGAGAAGCTCAATATCTTCAGTCAAAGCAAAGCCAGGAGCTGATTGTGGAACAGACCCTCAACAGTAAGTTCATGCTGAAGCTGAAGACAATTGAAACAAGTCCATGAAAGCCAAAATAGACCTTGATTCTCTCTCTCCTGAATTTAGAGACCATCCAACATATAGATAGATATGATATACAGAATAGATATGATGCACTGAACAATGACTGAAAACCAGAGGAATTGTGGGATGACATCAAGAACACCATCCATGAAGAAAGCAAAGGTCATTAAAAACACAGGAAAGGAAGACCAAAATGGATGTCAGAAGAGACTCTGAAACTTGCCCTTGAGCGGAGAGTAGCTAAAGCAAATGGAAGAAATGACAAGATAAAAGAGCCGAACAGAAGATTTCAAAGAGCAGCTCGAGAAGACAAAGTCAATTATTATAATGAAATGTGCAAAGACCTGGAGTAAGAAAAACAAAGAGGAAGAACATTTCTTAAGCCGAAAGAACTAAAGAAAAAATTCAAGCATCGAGTTGCAATATTGAAAGATTCTATGGGCAAAATATTGAATGATGCAGAAGCATCAAAGCTGCACCTAAAGAACTGGCAAAAAACGAGGCTCCAGTAACTGACAGGATAGCCACTGAGATGTTTCAACAAACAGATGCTATGCTGGAGGCACTCACTCGTCTATGCCAAGAAATTTGGAAGACAGGTATGTATGTGGCCAACTGACTGAAGAGACCCGTATTTGTACCCATCCGGAGAAAGGTGATCCAACAGAATAGGGAAATTATTGAACAATATCATTAGTATCACACACAAGTAAAAAATTGCTGAAGATAATTCAAAAAAGGGTTGCAGCAGTATACTGACAGGGAACTACCAGAAATTAAAGCTGGATTCAGAAGAGGATGTGGAATGAGGGCTATCATTGCTGATGTCAGATGACAGCGAAGAAAACCAGAAAGATGTTTACTTGTGTTTTATTCACTATGAAAGGCATTTGAACTGTGTGGATCATAACAAATTGTGGATAACATAGAGAAGAATAAGAATCCCAGAACACTTAATTGTACTCATGAGGAACTTGTACGTAGACCGAGAAGCTGTCATTAGGGGACACTGAAAAGTTTTAAATCAGGGAAGATGTGCATATGTTGTATCATTTCGTCATACTTATCCAATCTGTACGCTGAGCAAATATGCAACAAACTGGACTATACGAAGAAGAATGTGGCATCAGGATTGCAGGAAGACTCATTAACGACCGGAGATAATGCAGATGACACAGCCTTCCTTGCTGAAAATAAGGATGACCTGAAGCACTTACTGATGAAGACTGAAGACTATATAGTCTGCAGTATGGATTACACCTCAACATAAAGAAAACAAAAATCCTCACAACTGGGCCAAGAAGCAGCATCATGATAAATGGAGAAAAGACTGAAGTTGTCAAGGATTTCATTTTACTAGGACCCACAACCAAGACCCATGGAAGCAGCAGTCAGGACATCGGACATCGAACGCACTGGGCAAATCTGCTGCAAAAGGCCTCTTTAAAGTGTTAAAAAGCAAAGATGTCACTTTGAAGATTAAGGTGCACCTGACTCAAACCATGGTATTTTCAATTGCCTCAGGCATATGAGAGCTGTCTAATAAACAAGGAAAAGTGAAAAAGAATCGATGCATTTGAATTGTGGTGGTGGCAAAGAATGCTGAAAATACCATGCGCCTCCAGAAGAAATAACAAGTCTGTTTTGGAAGAAGTACAGCCTTGGAGGTGAGAATGGCCAGACTTCGTCACTTGCACTTTAGTTATGTCAAAAAGGACCTTCCCTGGAGAAGGATGTCATGCTTGACAAAGTGGAGGGTCAGCAAAAAAGGGAGAAGGCCCTCATGAGATGGACTGACACAGCGGCTGCAACGATGGGCTCAGGTACAGCAGGATTGTCAGGCTGGTGCGGGACCAGCAGGGTTGCTTCCTGTTGTACACGGGGTCATTATGAGTCGGGGCCAACTCGACGGCACCTAATTGCAACAACATGCTGGGGGACACATTGGTGGTTCGGTGGTGGAATTCCTGCTTCCTAGGTCGGTGACCTAGATTTGAGTCCTGACCAATGCGCGCTGTGCACGCCCACCACCTGTCTGTCAGTGGAGGGCTACGTGTTGCTGGGAGGCTGAAAAGCTTCCAGACGAAGCCTGGTGCTCTACTTTCAGAAATCAGGGAACGCACACTGTGTGAAGCACAGTGGCCCGACTGGCAGCTGATCCGGGCGGACGCAGGGCCCGGCAGTGTGCCCTTCCCGTGCGGGGTCACTGGGAGTCGGGGCGAGCCCAGCGGCAGCTGCACCACCACCAAGGCTGCACGTGCTCAGATCAAGAACCTTCTTCTGGAGATGCCGCCGCTCTGGTGGCTCACACCGCAGTGTGTCTCCTGGTGTCCCCGCTGCCACCCGTCCTGGCCAGCTCCTTGTCGCCTGCTGAGGCTTGCGCCCATGCTGTCTCTTCCAGAGAGCCGTCTGTGAACACTGCCTGGGCCTGGCCCCCATGGTTCCCTCACGCTGGCATGCATCTGTCAAGGGGGCTGTTTGCTGACGTGACAGTGAAGGCTTCTTCTCTAGCACCTAGCTCGACACCTGGTCTGTTCAACACGTGGGGGGTGCGCGGGGGTGCTTTCGCAGGCCGCCAGCCTCACTCAGGGCTCTCAGCTTGGGCTCAGGCGGTGGCACCAGGACCCGGAATCCAGAGGAGTGGTAGCACCCCAGTGTGGTTGGAGTCAGCAGCTACCTGGACCCCACTTGCTCTTCTGCCCGGCTCCCTGGGACCCACCTCCCACGTCCACCCTGCATGCCCTGCCCTGGGGCAGGCTGCCTGCTGAGCACTGCACTCACCTGGTGGGACCAGCTGGCTGGCAGTGAGGTACTTCTTATCTGAGAACATGGCCATCCAGAACTTAATCATGATGCTGATGTCTTCTCGAAGTCTCTTCTCCCCTTGGGTCGGGAACTTGGGGGGACAGCTGAAAACGGGCACAGGGGAAACCAGTGAACGTCTGGCATTGGACTAGACACTGCTGTGTGCCGAGTGGTGGGAGGTCTGCGAGTGAATGACGGAGGTGAGCCCGAGCTGCTCCCAGCCACAGTGACCACCACGGTCCGCCCAGGAACATGCTGGGACTTCCAGAGCTTTCTGGGTGTCACCTTCGACACCGTCCCTGGCAGGGCCAGCTGCGCTCTGCTGAGGGAGGCTGTGGAGGCTGCGTACATGACCATGTGGCTTGCTGTGCACAGCGACAGGGCCAACACCTGCAAAGCCTACGGTCCCAGTGCTGTGTGTACTGTCACTACTGTCAACAGCCAGGCTGAAAGCAATGACATCGCCCCTTACATCAAGTGAACAGGGAGCGGGGTGGGGGATGAGTGCCTGGCATGTGTGCAGAGACAAAGCTCGGTGCTGCTGAGAGGGACCTCAGATGCCATCTGGATGGCCTCCTGTGATTAATCCTGGCAGGGGCAGGGTGGCTGTGGGGGGCGGGCTGTCCCTGCCCAGGGGGATGGGGCGGGGTGGCGGGGCCGGGGCCGGGTTGTCCAGGATGGGCCCGGGACGCCTGCTGGACGGTACCTGAAGTAGTCAAAGGCTGTTGAGTAGATCTTCTCCCGGAGCACATTGCGAATGGTGGCGTTGGGGACCACGTCGGCGTGCAGCAGAGCCAGCCCCAGGGTCAGCAGCCTGCCGCGGGGGGGCGTGTGTGCTGTCAGGCTGGGCTGAGCTCTGCTTGTCCCCCGCCCTCCCACGGGACTGGACCACGGCCCCGAGTCGCCTGCTGCAAGCCTGCGCCTGGGAAACCTCCAGATGCCAGCGCGCTGAAGGCAGGGATGGGGCCTTGCTGGGGGCTCCCACGTTCACGCTCATCTCACCCCGAAATTTCCACAAAGGCCCTTTACAGCCGTCACTTTCGTGTGGGGAAAAATGAACAATTTGTGGGATGCTCTGTGCTGGCCAGAATTGTCCATCTGATAAAGGAACCGCAGACGGCTCCAGGGGGTGCAATGAAGGGGGGCGTTTAATACCAGTGCAGACAACCAAAACCCGCCAGAGGGCCAAGTTTGTGCCAGCACAGCTGGGGAAGGGGCACCGTGGTAGAGGAAGAAATCTCCCCCAAGTAAAGTCCTCTTCAATCCCACCCAAAAGACATTCGGTTCCAGTGGGGCACTGCCAGAGGGAGGGATACACATGGACGGGTCTGGAGGGGCTTGGAGGTGCAGTGAGCCCTGATCACACACCAGCCAAGGAGCCGGAGCCCACAGCTGTACGCCCCTTCGGTCAGTGCTGCTCAGACAGTAGCCCTAGACGGGCCTGGTCTACACGCTGGCCAGTCTCGGGGGACAGCAGGGAGACTGATGGGGAGCACTTGCCCATTTCTGCAGCAACACCATGCCGCCGGGACGGCCAGGGTGGGCCCACCTGGGCTGCATTTCACAAATGCACGGGCCTCCTGCAGCTGCTTTGAGGCGCTGTGTCTGCGGGGACAGCTGGCAGGCTAGGGGACATGGTCTGGAGCCCAGGGCTTGAGGGTGGGAGGAAGCACTGCCGCGGGCAGGAGGGGTGACGTGGGGGAGTGGAGCCCCAGCAGGCTCCTGTGCTCTCCCACCCAGGGATGTCCCCGGGCACGCCAGGTCCCCTTCCTGGCTCACCTGTAGCCACGGCCCCGCCCCCACCCAGCTGGGCTGTCTGACTCGCCCTATCCTGCCTCTGCCTCACTCCTCTGACGTGGTCCCTCCTGCTGAGCCAACTGTAGGCCGCATGTCATCTCCAGGTGGCACTGAGGACGTGTCCTGTGGTCCCAGTACAGTGCCCAGGGCTATGCCAGCCCCTTTCCTAGAATCCCCTGCAAACCACACATGGCCCGTTGGCTCCCTCCATATGGCCTGGAGGGCTGGGCCCAGCTGCCCCGCATACAGGCCCCTGCAGGGAGCCAAGGCAGCACTGGGAGCAGGAACAAGTGAGCAACTGTGGGAAATACTGTCATTGCAGACAGAGCCGCTCCCGACAGCAGCGAGCAGGAGGTCCCCACGGGAAGGGGCTGTGTCACCAGAGAAATGGTGGAGGATGCAGAGACTTGAAGGAGAGGGAGCATCACCCTCGCCAGGCCACAGGGTGGACAGTGAGGGTCGACAGGAGGAGGGGTGGTGGCGAAAGCAGGCCCCGGGCAGGGCAAGGCACAGGCAGGTTCCGGGGGTGGAGAGAAGGTTCCAGAACTGGAGGGCAAGTGCCTGAAGACACATGGCCAGTTCAGGGGGAACATCAGTGACAAGGTGTGTCTGAAGGAGCCTCCCCGCTGGCCTGTGAACCTCCTGCCATCATCGCCCCGTGCCCGCACAGCGTGACACCCACACCAGGGGCCTGGGGCACCGCACCCGGAAGAGGCTCTCACTTGAAGCGCGGCCCGATGGCGGCCACGTGGCGGTTCATGCTGCCCTTGGCCCCGCCGATGCTCAGGGACATGGAGCGCTGCAGCAGGCTGGAGAAGACCTCCACTTGGTCGGAGCTGCAGTACTTGGCAATCTCGAACCGCTGCACCAGGAACTGGAAGGGGGGGCACGTGACAGGCTGCCGTGAGGCCCAGGCCACCTTCAGCGCAGCCCGCTGTGCGGTGCCTGGGGTGAAGGCAAGGGGAGCCCCGGGGAAGGGGGGTGGGCGGGAGCTGCTGAGAGGAGCCTGAGCCAGTTGCCCCTCTTCTCACTAAGACAGCCTCAGGGCCTGGAGACATCCTGCCGCAGGCCACCTAGCCCTGGAGGAATCCTCGCCCACCCCAAACAGAGAGGAGAGGCCCAGCAAAGCCTCAAGGAGGAGCCAGGGCCCGGGCACGTACGTCAATCCAGATGTAGTGGGGCGTCACTTCAGGGGGACAGGGTTTTGGCTGACTTGCTTCTGAGGCGGCCAGAGGGTCTGCTTCCTTTATTTCTGCAGAAAATAGGCCTAACTTCTGCTGCACTGTCATGTGCCAAGCTCCTGCCATCTCCCGCATGAACTGCAAGTACACAGCCCGTGAGCTCCTCCAGGAAGCGGAAAGAGCCAACGTTCTTCAATTACACAAGGAATGTTTCTGTCTGCAACTGCAGCCAAAAGCACGAAGTACCAAGGGATGCACTGAACCAGGAGGGTGAGAGGTTTGTACCCTGAAAACTATGAAACGTTAAAATAAAAAAACGAAGGACAATGTAAACGGAAGGATGTTCTGAGTTCACGGATGAAAGGCTCAGTGCTGTCAAGACTGCAGCATTGCCCCACGCAGTCTGTCTATCGATAGGCTCCTCATCAGCATCCCAATGAAGTTCTCACACATGTGTTTGTATGTGCTGGGAGAATGTCCAGGCATATACTAGAGGTAACAGGGCAAAGTTTGAAAGTTTGGATGACTTCTTGGCTACAGCCTACCGCCCGGAGGGAGCAAGTAGTTGGACCTGTGGATTTGGGACCATGGTCACAGGGGACGTCAAGCTCAACTGGCATAACACACTACACAAAAACTTTGTTCTACATCCTACTTTGATGAGTCGTGACTGGAGTCTGAAAAGCTTGCAAGCGGCCATCTAGAGACAATGGGTCTCTCTTCATCCAGAGCAAAGAAGAATGAAAAAACAAAGATGCATGGCAACAATTACTGCAAGGAACTGGCAGAGCATGCGATCCTCAGCCTATACGACCATGAGACCAGAAGAACTAGATGGTGCCCGGCCACCACTGTCAACCACCAGAGGGG